CCCTAAAATTTATTTACAAAGAAGATAAATTCAATCACATACCAATTATAACCCCATTCGCAGAGCGATAATAGCTTTGTGTAATTGTGCGGAAGCGTTCTTGCCCGGCAGTATCCCAAATTTGAAGCTGCAAAGATACTTGATACCCCTGAGAATCTTTATTCAAAAACTGCGTACCTTAGTTGCTTTTCCTTCTATATTTATAGTTTTCATAGAGAAGTCTACACCAATCGTATTTCCATGTCGTTCGACGAAATTTCCAGTCTTGAAACGTTCCACTATACAAGTTTTCCCAGTTCCACAATCTCCAATCAAAACAACTTTGAAGAGGAAGTCAAAGCTTTCTTCATTTGGCAGTGCCATAAGGGTATGTGGGTTCCGTGAAGCCATACCGAACATACTTTTACAAAGAACTTGATCCACTAAACTAATAATGGTCAACACTTCTATAAAGTTGCTTTAAAATAATTTACAGCAACCCATTCCAACAAAACAATTTTTTCGATGTGCCAGTGTGACTTCATAACAATGTAAATAGTGACTTGCGATAGAACGATACGGGTACCGAGTACAGAATGTCGATACTTTTTATGCGTACTGAGTAGTTTCAAGAGCTCGATACTTTTNTAAATAGTGACTTGCGATAGAACGATACGGGTACCGAGTACAGAATGTCGATACTTTTTATGCGTACTGAGTAGTTTCAAGAGCTCGATACTTTTTGACAAGTACTGAGTAAATATCGGAAACACCAAAAAGAATCGGCATCAGTGATCGGACTCTAAAACAAATTGTGTGGTAGAATCTGGAAAAAAATATGGTAGATTTCCAAAACATTGTGGTAGATCTCAGCTTTTGGATCAAACTTTGTACAACAATTAAAAAAATTCTGCAAGGTTTCAGTGAAATTGCAAACATTTTGGCTGCAATTTAGTTTGGCATCCCCGGAGTTCCGCATTAATGTAGCTATGGAACGATAGATGGAGTTCTCCTGATTGCAAATATATATACTTTTAACCGCAGCAGGCTTCTAGTTTTTAAGTTATTTGTTGTTAAAGTTTGTAAA